ACTCCTTGAATTCATGCACATATTTTTCAGCCGCCTTGTGGTCCTAACTGGCAGCCTCACCATGCCTTACCACACTGTGTATGCCAGTACAGTTCTTAAATCTCTCAAACCAGCCTTTGCTGGCCTCAAATTCACTCGCATCACCACTAGTTGCAGGCAATTTCTTTACCAAATCGTCATGCAACTGCCTAGCCTTTTCACAAATAATCGAAGTCATAAGAGTATCTCCTGCTAATTGTTTCTCATTTATCCACACCAATAATAACTTCTCAACCTCTTCAAGTACTGGTGATCTCATTTTTGTCAGCATAGTTACCCCCTTTGCAACAACAGCGTCCTTGATTTCCTTTTTCTTGGCCACTATGGAACATAAGGTTGTGTAGGGTTTCTTATACATCCTGGACAGTTCGGCCACACTTGTACCACTTTCATATTGTTCAATGATGGTTTTCTTAAATTCAGTCATATTTCTCACCTTCTTTATCACAGGCTTGGCACTAGGAGCTTTCTTTGGAGCCATGGTAGCTTATTTAATACTTGCAAGCACTAAAATAAATAGAATATTATGAAATATTTCGCTGGAGCACGCAAGGGGACCTTCGCTCACTGGTAAACAATGCCAGACTGGCTGCCGCCCTGGCCCACGCCGTGGGTACGTGTCCCGGATGAACTACGACTCGCGAGTCAACCTATGAAAAGCGAGTCCATGTTTATACAAAAATATCCCTGTGATTTCTGAAATTTATGATTGCCGAGAACTACGAAAAGTGAGGGACCACTGTGGTCCCCCGCTTTTCGTAATTCCCAGCAATCGTAAATTTCGGGTGTGAAGCGTGGGTGATGAATGTTGCAGCGAGGAGAAGGCTGGAGGCAGTGGAGATGTCATGTCTGAGGGCAATGTGTGGTGTGAATATAATGCAGAGAATTCGTAGTTTGGAAGTTAGGAGGAGGTGCGGGATTACCAAAACTGTTGTCCAGAGGGCTGAGGAAGGGTTGTTGAGGTGGTTCGGACATGTAGAGAGAATGGAGCGAAACAGAATGACTTCAAGAGTGTATCAGTCTGTAGTGGAAGGAAGGCGGGGTAGGGGTCGGCCTAGGAAAGGTTGGAGGGAGGGGGTAAAGGAGGTTTTGTGTGCAAGGGGCTTGGACTTCCAGCAGGCATGCGTGAGCGTGTTTGATAGGAGTGAATGGAGACAAATGGTTTTTAATACTTGACGTGCTGTTGGAGTGTGAGCAAAGTAACATTTATGAAGGGATTCAGGGAAACCGGCAGGCCGGACTTGAGTCCTGGAGATGGGAAGTACAGTGCCTGCACTCTGAAGGAGGGGTGTTAATGTTGCAGTTTAAAAACTGTAGTGTAAAGCACCCTTCTGGCAAGACAGTGATGGAGTGAATGATGGTGAAAGTTTTTCTTTTTTGGGCCACCCTGCCTTGGTGGGAATCGGCCAGTGTGATAATAAAATAAAAAAAAAATGGTTTCGAGTTTCGTGAATCTCAACCTTTGGCAGGCTCTCTGGAACGGATTAATCACGAAACTCGGGGGTCCACTGTATATTTATACAGTGGAACCTCTACTTGCGAGCGTGTCCACATGCGAGTTTTTCCAAATACGAGCAGTCGATGGGTCGATTTTTTGCTTCCATACGCGAGCAGACCTCAAGGCAGGTTCCTTGACACTGGTGAGGGGCTCTTGCTCTTGATCTCGGGAATTGTATTTCATTTGTTTGTTGGGAGGAGGAGAGAGGGAGGACTTATTGTTTGGAAGGGGAATCCCCTTCCATAAAGACTTTAGGTAACAAATCCTTATCTGGGGTTACTTCCCCTCTTTGTCTTTTAATACCACTAGGACCAGCTTGAGAGTCACTGGACCCCTGTTGCACAAAATAGCTGTCAAGAGTGCTCTGTTTCTGGCGTCTCTTTAAGATTTGCCTAAAATAGGACGTTGTTTTGTCACTGAACATGTTGCAGAGATAGCTTGTTTCAGCTTGCTCAGGGTAGTATTTTCCCACAAAACTTTGCAACTTATTCCACATTCCACACATGCCCTTAATCACTGAAGAAGGCACCTCTTTCACTCTCTCTTCCTCCTCTGAAGCAAGTTCCTCAGCTGTGGTCTGATGCTGTTCCAGTTGACACTCTTGCAGTTTGTCAGTGGTTAGCTCTTCCCTGTGGTCCTCCACCAACTCTTCCACATCCTCACCACTCACATCCAACCCCATGGACTTACCCAAAGATGCAATAGATTCCACAATAGGTGTAGGGTTGTCAAGGTCAACCTCAAACCCTTCAGAATTCCTCTGGAGGACACATTGTGGCCACAATTTTCTCCAAGCAGAGTTCAAAGTCACAATCACAATCAATAAACAAGCACCAAATACAATGAATTTATTGTGAATTGTTTGGATGAGCTTGCAGGGTAATGTTCACTCAAGGATAAACAAAGCTAGACTGGCTCATGATACCTGCACTGGCAGGTGGACAGGTCTGGTATGCCGGCTGAAACACAGGGCACATGCCGAAACTTGGGACAAAATTTTGCTAAAAAAAGTGGTTGAAACTTGAAGCGGCCAATACTCAGGGGGGCTGAAACTTGGGGTTCCACTGTATTACCATATTTTTGCCCCAATAATAAAGTACATAATGGCCTAGGTTTGCTGTACACCAGGTATTTTAACACCATATTTGTTGGCAATACTTACCATCCATCAGTCATTGCTAATATGTGTAGATATCTGGTTATAAAAAAAATATAATATAACCATATCAGAAAACCTCTCCAGGATTCTAAAGGAAAAAAGAAAAAAACAGAAAAAAAAGAAAAAAGAAGCTGAAATAAACTAAAACCTCTAATATCAGCCAAACATTTTTCAATATCAAAAGTATTTTTGTGTTTCTATAGCTGTTTCAGACTATTGTATATCATACCCTAGGAATTATTTACCGACTGGTAAATGCAGTGGCTGGTAGAAAAAAGAAAGTCGAGATAGAAACAGTAGAAAAATGGGCATCATGGCTTAAATAATGCTCTAAATTGCATAATGTTAACATTCATAGCACAATTTCTATGCCAGCCTTGGTGAGCTGTGGATATCACTCTGCACTGGACATCCATGACAAATTTTCCCTAGATTATTTTTTAAAACGATTATCATCATTTATTGCCTGCTGGGGTCACTAAATCAGCTATTTTTTGTGTGTTTAAAGTTAAATGTGCAGGTGTGAGGAAAGCTGATTGATGCTGTGAGCATCCTACTTTGCTGGGATTTAGGTGGGAGTTAACAATTTTTTCTTCCTTCTTAGCAGTGCTTGTCCACTTTTCGTTTTCCTCCCAGCTTGGACAGTTTTTCCTCACAGGCACCAGGAAGTAGAGCTGTATTGATGCATGCTGTATACCCCCCCAACATTCAGCACCAACATTCATAAGAAAGAACTTACAAATAAAACAAATTTGGACATGGGAAAAATCATTAATCACAGCTTGAATAAACTAATATTTATTGTTTTCAGTTTATGGTTCATGTGCCAAATAAGAAGAAATTGGGTGCTGCCAAAAATGTGTACATAAGTAATTGACACCACTGTAAAATGGCCTTTGGTAAAAATTTTGTATAATCGAATCACTTAGGTTACAGAGTACAGTGGAACCTCGTAAGTAGAGTTTAATCCGTTTCGTGACCTTGCTCGCATCTTTATTTGCTTGTTTGCAGAGTCAATTTTCCTCGTTTAAATTAATTGAAATGGAATTAATTCGTTCCAGTGGAATTCCAGGCAAAGAATTGAAGATATCTACTACTTTGAGCTTAATTTCAAGGTACTTTTCGTTGTGAAACCAATCAAAATTACATCTATTTCTGTAGTATATCTTCCATTCTATCAAAGGAGAACAAAAAAATGAGAATGCAACTATAAAAATCATACGAAAATATACTGCTAAGGGGAGGCTAATGGCTGAGAGGTGAACTCTTTTATTTATGGTCCAATTTCTTTCATTTTTGGTGTACATTAAGAAGCATCTTCCCATCATACATTGCCCAAGTTTCAATAAGATAGTCCAACAAACAACTGAGATTCAGTTCCCTAGATGAAAAGCAAGAGCCTTTCACCAGCATCAAGGAACCTCCCTTGAAGCCCACTCTCATCTGGAAATTTCACTCGTGTCTGGAAGCAAAAAATTAACCGAGTGACTGCTCGTATCTGGAAAAACTTGCACGTGAATGCACTCGTAAGTAGAGGTTCCACTGTACTGTACATGAATTCCAAGATTTGTCTGTGCATATAGCTTGGCTGAAGGAATGGACACAGCATTTGTTGTCAGTTTCTTGAGGAACGTGTAAAGCAAACTTAGAAAGCGATTTGTAAGAAACTATTTTTGAGATGAAACTGAAAGCATCCCACAATAATATAGTCATCATAAGAAATTTAAATTTTCACAGAGTTACTTGGAGTATAGCACTATGCAGGAAATCCAAGAGTCTTATGGTTTCCTAATAGTACAGGACTGATTTCAAAAAATATTTCTGACTTTACTAATTAGAAAGAAATCCTGATAAAGTATCTTACAGTTGGGGAAGAATTTGAAAATCATGATCAGGAGGACTTTATGTTGGCCAGTATTGGTATTGGGTATCAATCAATTTTGATGGTATCAGTATTGGCTTAAAATTGAATATTGGTATTGGTGGGTATCAATTAATTTTGACAATATCAGTATTGGTGGGTATTGGCTAATTTTTATGGTACTGTATCAGTATTGACTTAAAATTCAGCAGCAGTAACAGTATCAGCAAAAATTTTGATATCATCCCATCCCTATTTATGATATAATTACTTCCTTCTTTTTATTTATGTATTTATTTATTTAATTATTTATTAAGTGTGAGACCCAGTCTCAAACAAATTCAGAATTAAGTAGGTGAATGAATTGTTCTGAGACTTTTTCCTGTTTCAGATTGCATCAGAATGATAAAATAGTTGTATTTCCTGCATTGCTGAAAGCATTACTGGTGATGTTGATAAGATAAGATAGTACAGTATTTAAGATGTTGTTTACAGGGGAAACTGGGAGTTTTGTACTGGACTTGGTTCAATTCCTCACATTATATACATTTTCTTGGGTAAATATAAGAATTAACACTGAAGCTGCATAGATGTTTACTCATGCCTTGTTATATAATTTATGAGTGGTAGTTAGAAAACAGTGCTGGGATGCTGTAATTTATGTGAAAGTGCTGTATTTTATGGCTTATTAGACTTTTTTTTTCCATAAAATGTCTCCAAAAACCACCCTGCGTCCTATAAACTGAAGGTCAGTGATGGGAGCTATAAGTTTGGGGTGTGGGGTGGGCTGTAGCTCTCCCAGTTATGTCCAATGCTGAGCCACTGAAACTAAAACAAGTCCAGTGTTTAGCGTCTTATAAGCCACAAAATACGGTAAATGTGCAAGTCTGAGTAGGTATAAAAACTTTTTAAGTTCAACAGCCTTTTACTGTAGATGATGTATTGTTGATTAGCAAGCTTCTTAAAGTAATGCTAGAATAAAACTTACAACAGAGATCAACAATTATAGACTCATTTCTAGCTTGCCTGTTTTTTAAAAAATATTTCAATAAAACAGTAAATAGCAATGATGGCCTGGTCATGGACCAGGCCACGGGCAATAACTCCCGGAACACTCTTCAGGTAATAATGTATAAGCAAATATATACATACATGATTTATCATAACAGGATGATTTGGATAAGCTGATCAAGTGATAAATGTCAGTGGAATGCTGAAATGTAATGGAAATACTGTAGTAGAATATAAATTGGGGTAAAAAATTAAGAACATCTGAAGAAGAGAAAGATCTTGAAGTGAAGTAACTACCAGAGTATTATCAGAGGCAGGGCCGGATTACCGCATAGGAAAACTAGGCATTTGCCTAGGGCCCCGCGCATTTGGGGGCCCCGCGGTCCAAGGGGTTCAGAGGCTCATCCAAGACTGCACACATGGTGCAAGTGCAAAGGGGTCCCTACCTAAAAAGTTCAAGTGTTTGGAGAGTAAAATTGATTTTTAAAAATTAATCAAAAAAAAAAATAAATAAATAAAATAAAAATAAATAAACCTAACCATAGATGGCAACACTCAACACGCCTTTGTTTACATCAGAACAGCTTCCCTAATGTTGACATAGTGTATCGCCTTTACTTAACACTTCCAGCTACTAACTGTGAAGGAGAACGTTCATTTTCTGTTTTGAAAAGAGTGAAAAACCAGCTCCGTTCAACAATGAGCCAAGACAAATTGTGTAACCTAGCCTTGTTGACCATTGAGTCTGATCTAACAAGAAATATTGATTTTCAGAATATAATTGATGATTTTGCCAATATGAAATCCAGAAAAAAGTTTATTTAAGAACTGCCTGTGAATATAAACAATTCTTTACTTTCTTGAGTTTATATGATTTGATAGTCTTATGCATGATGCAATGATAACAATAATGGTCAGTGATTTATAAAGGGAATAATAGTGCTGTAGTGGTTATGCTGAATATAATAGGTACATGATGTCACTACTTTAATAGCCTCATCTAGTAATACTATGCTGTCTTGAGTTTATTCTCTTTAAAATGCATGATTTAACAAGATAGTTATAATGGCAGTTGGTAAATGGTTTTGGTTGTCTTGATGTACTTTCCCTATTAAATTTAATCTAAATAGCCAGAATGTATTTAATTAGACCTTAAACAGGCTCACACCGACCCCCCCCCCCCCAAGCTGGAAGGGGTCGCTTTGCTTACCCGTAACTCAAAGGGGCCCCGCCAATCTGAATAGCCTAGGGCCCGGAGACTTTTTAATCTGGCCCTGATCAGAGGACCACATTAATGCAGTGGAAAATATCCTGTGTATTGCTGGTAGAGTTTTAAATGTCTCAAATACTGGATGCACATGAAAATAAAAATTCTGAAAAATAAACTGATTTTCAAAATTGTAATGACATGATTGTCAACAACTCACAGAATGGAGTGGGGGTCTGAACTCATGGGAGGTCAGTCCTAATACTAGTAGGCCAGACTCTTGAAACTCATCAAAAGTATATTGTAACATGCCAGCCTAATACGATTAATCAAACTAGGTGTATTTCTATACGCACTAGAAAGATTATCATAGACCCCACTGTGACCACAAATGCAGGTTTTTGCTGATGATCTTCCCAGAAGCATGGCTGTGGTATGCTCTAGTTCAGGTCCCATGAGAGCCATGTGAATGACTGGTGAAACTGTAATGACATGATTGTAAACAACTCAAAGAATATAATAAAGCTTTTCAAAATGTGCTACTGTATCGTGGTGTATGCACCTAAAACTTCTTTTTTTTTTTATTAATAACACATCGGCAGTTTCCCACCAAGACAGGGTGACCCAAAAAAGAAGAAACATTTTCATCATCATTCACTTCATCACCGTCTTGCCAGAGGCACACCTACACTACAATTTAAAAACTGCAACATCACACCCCTCCTTTAGAGTGCAGGAACTGTACTTCCCACCTCCAGGACTCAAGTCTGGCTTGCCAGTTTCCCTGAATCCCTTCATAAATGTTACCAATGCACCTAAAATATAACAAAATAAAACAAGGCTTTGAAGATAGTGTAGAATAAATCCAGTGAAAAGTGTCAGTACCGCAAGCACAATTAAAAACAACACTATTTATATTCAAGGTCCATGAATCTTCAACCTTGTACTGTACCAACAAATATAGGAAATATTACAGGAATAAAGGCAGAAGGCTTTGAAGTTCCTGCAGGTTTCTGATCTAGCAGACTGTGATAACTGTAGGCTTCTTGTTGTACAGTCATCAACAGACTGGTTGATAATTCAGTCACAAGGGAGGCCTAGCTTCAAGCTTGGCATTGGATAGAAAAACACTTGAAGCTAATTACAAGTATGCCAACAGTACTCAGGAAATCGTCATGACACGATTGCAAACAAACCATAACACGGGTGGGGTTTGAACCAGCTAGAGTTCGTCATGGCCATGCTTGCTTGAGATTCGTCTGTAAAAACTTGCATTTGTGGTCACATTGGTGCCTATGGTGTAGATGAATCTTATTGAAGCTAGCTGGCCCAGTGGCTAATGTGACGGTCTGGAATTTTGAGACTCTGACCGCGGGTTTGAACCCCACCTGTGGTATGGTTTGTTTGCAATCGTGTCATTACGATTTCATAAGTCATGTTGACGGCTTTGAGGGGACTTGAGCTAGAGTTCATTATGGCCATGGTAGCAGGAGATTTGTCTGTAAAAACTTGCATTTGTGGTCACAGTGGTGTCTATGCTAACCTTCCTATGATGTAGAAATATACCTAGTTGGATGAATCTTATTGAAGCTAGCTGACCCAGTGGCTAACACGACGGTCTGGAGTTTTGAGACTCTGATTGTGGGTTCAAACCCCACCCGTGGTATGGTTTATGCCAACAGTGTGTAGAACAATTGGCCACAATTTCCAAATAGAGAAAAAGTGGTGCAGAGGAGGGAATAGGAAGTACTTTTCAAATATAGTAGTTGATGCTGTTATGGGCTCCAAAAGGAGGTACTCTAATACACAAGCATTGGAAGCCAAAAATATTTGTTCTCTGTTAAATTAACTCAAGATGGGTTACAAAAAACACAACTCTGCTTATGTAACTATATATCATTACAGTTCAGTATTGAAATTACAAAAAAAAAATAGATAATCATGTACATGCAGCTGCTCTTTATATTAGACCAGGTATTTTATTTTTAATGTCATGTATGGAATGTGCAAATACCTGGTAGTATTTTATTTTTAGTGTCATATATGGAATGTGCAAATACCTGGTAGTATTTTATTTTTAGTGTCATGTATGAAATGCGTAAATGCCTGGTATTTTATTTTAGTGTCATGTATGGAATGTGCAAATACCTGGTAGTACTGTATTTTATTTTTAGTGTCATATATGGAATGTGTAAATGCCTGGTAGTATTTTATTTTTAGTGTCAGTTACAGTATTTGTAATGTGTCCTCTTCATTATTAACTTCAAACAGGCCATAAGTGGGAAAATAAGTTATTGAATCAAGATCACTTGAGGAAGCACAACACACATGACGCCAATAACGAAAATGCCTGTAGCTCTTATTACCGGTGTCACGGGTCAGGTAACTTGCATTCAATTACTGCAAACACAAGTGTGTCGCTCTCTCGCCTTTCTTTAATGATCTATTGTTTTGTACCCACTAAGACTGTGTGAAAATTTATTCACAATGGTGGTTCTCTTCATTTCCATATCAGCACTTGGGCATGCTATACACTCACTGCAAGCAAGAATGATGCTATGTATTTTTGTTGTCCGCTCTACTACTGTAATTGATTATGCTTGCTTTTTGTTTTGACTATTATTTTGTCTTTTATAACCACTCATTTACTTTTTATGTCAGCTTTTTTAATGTGTTTTTATATTGTTAATCATCTCAAAGTAATCATTCCTTTTATACTTTATATGAAAGCTTTTAAGTTGTGTGGGTTATTTTGTTACAGTGTATCTTGTAATATTAGTTAAACAAAGATTTAAAAGTTATATGCATTAATGTTGCAGGACGGGTCTTACTTGGCTGAACTCCTGCTTAGTAAAGGGTACCAGGTACATGGTATCATTAGGAGATCATCATCATTTAACACCGGTAGGATTCGCCATCTGTATGAAGATCCCAAGGTAGGGGAATGTTTAATATACTGTATCTCATATTTCGGTTGTGATGTAAAGCTTTTATTGAGATTATTTTTAATTCTCAGTAAGAATTACAATTGATTTAAAAACATTGGAAAGATTAAAAAATTTATTGGCAAAACATTTGTGTAAACCCAATGTGAATATTTGTGACTGCGTTTGTGATTGTATATATTTCTCATATCCCTTTTTTATCTTTTTTTTTGTTTTTGTTTTTTGTGTGTAAAATTTGCTAGTACTATAAGCAAGTTTAGTAAATAAATATGCTTTATATGTAACACAATATAGAGCAGTGTTTAGTATAATACCTGCCCACAACTTAAGATTTACAGTGGACCCCTAGATTTCATCCTGTGCGGAAATTGTACAATTCGGATTTCGACCAATATTTTCAGCAAAATTTTACCCCGGGTTTTGTACATCCGTTTGGAAATCAACCATACCAGACGCGTCCACCTGGGCCACTCATACGTTTGTGGCTCACTCTTGGGTACATTAAATGTCTTATTTTACGATAATATATGCATTTTCATTAATGCATCTATGATATTTTCTCCAAAATTATATAAGAAACACATTACATAGCATATAAACATGCCTTTGTTACTTGTTCACTAAGAGTGCCCCTCGAGTCTTAATGCCATAGTAATAATACTAATACAGTGAACCCTCCCTTTTCATTGGGCTCTGTTTTCGCAAATTTCAGTTATCACCGACTTCGTAAAAATATTGGCTCAGTTTTTGTTACTTTCCTCCGTTCTCGTCAGTGGTACGGAACACGTCTGAGTATGCCCACGTGCACACAACCTCCAACACATGCATTCTGAGACAGTTGCTTTGTTTCTCGGTGAGTGAACATTATCCTGCGAGGTCATAGGAAACATTTTGTAATAATTCATTGTTTTTTGCGCTTGTTTATTCTGTGTGACTTAAATAAGCCACTATGGGCCCAAAGAAAGCTGCTAGTGCCATTCCTTTGGTACAGAAGGTGAGAAACACGATAGAATTAAAGAAAAAGATTGTAGAAAAATACGAAAGTGGTGGTAGTAGAGGGAGGTAGTGATAGTGGTAGAGGGTGGTAGTGATGGTGGTAGAGGGTGGTAGTGATGGTGGTAGAGGATGGTAGTGATGGTTGTAGAGAGTGGTAGTGGTTGTGATGGTGGTAGAGGGTGGTAAAAGGTGGTAAAAGGTGGTAGTGGTTGTGATGGTAGAGGGTGGTAGTGAGATAAGATAAGATAAGATTTCGTTCGGATTTTTAACCCCGGCGGGTTAGCCACCCAGGATAACCCAAGAAAGTCAGTGCGTCATCGAGGACTGTCTAACTTATTTCCATTGGGGTCCTCAATCTTGTCCCCCAGGATGCGACCCACACCAGTCGACTAACACCCAGGTACCTATTTACTGCTAGGTGAACAGGACAACAGGTGTAAGGAAACGTGTCGAAATGTTTCCACCTGCCGGGAATCGAACCCGGGCCCTCCGTGTGTGAAGCGGGAGCTTTAGCCACCAGGCCACCGGGCCACCGTAGTGTTGGTGATAGAATGTGGTAGTGGTTGTGATGGTGGTAGAGGGTGGTAGTGGTTGTGATGGTGGTAGAGTGTGGTTGTGATGGTGGTAGAGGGTGCTAGTTATTGTAGTAGGGGTAGAGCTTCAAGAGCTCTCTGGACAGATTTTTTTTCGTGTTACAGGGGTCCAGTGACTCTTAACCCTTTCAGGGTCCGTCCCGTAGATCTACGGCTTCACGTTGAGTGTCCAAACCGTAGATCTACGCCAAAATTCTAGCGCTGTCAAATTTAGCGCGAAAGCGCTCATAGGCCTACATGTGAGAGAACGGGCCTGCATGGTGGGTGTGCGCCATAAACAAAAAATCTAGGCGCCCGCATAGCATTGTGGGAACGCCGGCTCAGTTACCCTTGTTCACCATGCCTCGTCGCAAGTCAGCTCTCATTCCACGGAAAATTGGGACTCTCCTTTTCCTATCTGATAGTTCTGATACTGATGGAAGTGGAAATGAAGACGAATTCTTTGGCTTTGATCAGTTAGTGACCGAAAGGAATGACCAGGATATCGATAATAGTGCAGAAAAACCTGATGATCCTCAACCTTCTACCTCTCGTGTTGGCACTCCTCAGTCACGGTCGGTTGTACCTCAATGCAAGAGAAAACTATTATTTTCGCGTGGCCAGGCCTCTGACTTCAGTAATAATGATGATAGTGACGTGGATTGTGATTTTATTGCTCTTGACAATCATTTGAGTAGTGATAGTGAGGAATCATATTCACCAGTGAAGCGTCGGTATGTACGCCGCCGCATGCGCTCGGGTAGTGTACCCTATGCTGTGCCCAGGGGACGGAGTACATCCCGGAGTACATCCCGTGGCCCTACACCAGGTTTAGATAGTGATAGTGAGGATGATGTGGCTACACTTGGCATGGATAAACCACAGGCATCAGCAGATGGTGGTAGTGGTGATGGTAGTGGCACCGCCATGCGTGACTCACCAGCCCAGGCTGGGAGCCACGCTGCTGACTCCTCAGTTCAAGGACAAAGCGGAGCGTCAGCCACCAGCCCACCACAACCACAACCACCCGCACAACCAGCCTATGATGTCCAGTATCCACCAGCAAACCGTATGTGGGATTGGCAGCAAAATCCCAATTTTGTTCCCAAGCCCCACCACTTTGATGACTCTCAAAGTGGAATTCTACCTACTTGACCCCTTGGAACCATGGCCAATGAACTGGAATTCTTTGAATTATTCTTTTGACCAGCCATTGATGGAAACTATTGTCAGGGAAAGTGAATAAGGATTTGAGTACACCACGGCAAATACGATCATATCACCACAGTCAAGACTACCACAGGTGGAAAGGTCGACTGTTGCAGAATTGTATTGCTTTTTGCAACAATAATGCTTTAGGCCTCATGTCTATAAGCTTAAAATAAATAAAAAATAAAACAAAAAAGAGACTGGTCCACAGATCGGCTAATTTCACCCCGAGTCTTCAGTGAAATCTTCCAGTGAACAGGCAGTGATAATCATCCCAATGAACAGGTTTTACTCTTACTCTTACGTAGTTGCACTTCTCTGACAAAAACAAGGCCTGTCTAGAAGTGACAGGTTTTACAAGATTAGAAAATGTTTTCATTTCTGTTGTAGTACAAGTTACTGGTAAGGTTACTTTGGATACTGGTACATGTACTACTACTGATGATGTCGCCGAGCTCTCTGTAGTAGTAACCAGTCCTAGTAACCAGTTACCAGTAAACCAGTGTTCCAGTAGATGAATCATACCAACCATCTCTGCGTGAATCAATGACTGTATTCGCATGCTGCTGACCATAGCAGGATTCAAACACCCCCTCACATAGGCACTGTGGGTCAGTTAGTCTTACGATAGAGAGCAGAGAGGGCAGGACAAGCGGTTGGCCGCCTTCACACACAATTCCGTTATATTTTACGTACTACCAGCCTTCGTGAGTATTTTTTCCTTAATCCCGTTTTCGAAACCCACATGATATCATGTATCTCAAACCAAAAGTTCAGCACTATATTTTTTCCATTCATGGATCTTGTAAAGTGACGGTCTTTGATTTTGTCAAAGGTAGGCTGTCATTCAAGCAGGATATTTCCGTGCAAGAGGGAATACGCTTTGGTATTAAATTGTTTGTACTCTGTGACTGTGACTAGTGGCCTGGTGTTGGATATGTTGTATACAAGGGAAGTAAAACATTGAAAGAGATCCAAGATGTTATTGGTATCTCAGGTGACGTAGTTGAGAAACCTTGATGGCACCTTATCTTGGTAAGAGGCATACATTAATACCGATAATGGTACACGAAACCCATTACTCAGTGATTCATGGAGTGAACAAGAAAGATGTGTGTGGCACAGTGAGTTCTAATCGTAAACATATGCACAGGCTCAACGCAGGTGCTCGTGGTGATGACGTGCAGGTGTTTTACTGCCAATGACATCATGGCAATTACGTGGCTTGTCAAACGAGGGATGTCACCATTGTTGACAAACACCATTCCCCATAATGAAATGCAAGAACAGTGGCAAAGTTGAATCGAGTGACTAATGAACGTATTCGAAAACCAGTGACAGTGAATTGATTATACACAAAACATGAGCTTGCGTGACAAAATGTGACATGCAGATTGGTTTTTGTTTGACTGTGTTCGTAAGAGTTTCATGTGGTACATGAAACTTTTCTTCCATCTCATGGACATTTCAATGTCAATGCTCATAAAATATGTACCAAATAAAGACTGGCACAGCACCATTATGGTGAATTTTGGTTTGTCTGTTGTCAGACAACTCGTAATGAAAGTACCAGGTAAGAACTCCTGCCTATACAACAAGGTCCTCGAATTACTCAGGGTTTACCCAAGCGTTTGAGGAGGGAAGGTGATCATTTCATAAATACAGCTTCATCAACTCAGAAGAAAATTTGCTCTGAAGAGAGCACCTCTGTGCAAAACAAAACGACCGGCAACAAAGACGCAAAGACGATCGGTTTAGGGGTGTGTGGAATGTAAGGTACCTCTGTGCATGGTGCCTTGTTTCAAGGGAGTTCCTCAAGCTCAAGTCAGTTTCTAAAACCTTGTTCAGTGATTGTAAATATGTAAATATATGATAGAACATTAGTATTATACAAGATTGGCTGTTTATTGTACTAAACATCTGTGGTAAAACAATAATATGATAATAACTTTAGTGCAGTTATTGTGTTTAATACAGTGAGTTTATATATATACATTATATGTTACAGTATTGGCTCATCGGCCACCCTATGTTAGTAGGAATAGAAAAAATATTGGAAAAAACGAAAATAAAAACAACAAAAAACCGCAAATTAATGTAATGCGCGTATGTGGAATTCGTCGTATTGGTTGCCGCCACCACATCATTTTTGACCAAACTTCTTGGCACTGTATCTCGGTAAGTACTGATCAGAATTTTTTTTTTTTGTCTTAT